AAGCAAGTCACCCTCTGGTCGCTTACACCCCACTGCTGGAAGAGGGGGGAAAGGAAGAAGGGAGGAAGAAGGAAGAGGATGATGTCTGAAACACTGACTTTGAGATGAAGTAGAAAAGGGAAGAAACTGCTGGACTCCAGGCAACACCGCTCAGACAGTTGGTAAGCCAGAGCGCGTTTCCCTTCCCATGACCTCAACCCCATCCCAAAGCCAGCAGGGGAATCTGACAGAGGCAGCAGGTACCCAGAGCCTGCTCTGGCCTCTGGCTTGCAGACAAAAGGAAAAGGCGCAGAGCATGCCAAGAGCAGCCCCGCAAGCAGAGCRGAGCACTCCTGGATCACAGAAACGCGTCTCTAGCGCGAGCGGCACTAACAGCTTAGGACCATCCGCACTGAACAGCGCAGCGCCCAGATAAGCTCAGCCGGCAGTCACTGCGCTGGGCTGGCGCAGCCAACACAGYGCTCGGCGCAAGCACAGCGGCAGCTCGCTCAGGCTGAGGTGTGGTAGAGAGCAGCAGAGCCAGGGAAAGCCCAATCTGTGCTTCAGACCCAGCAGCAGCCCTGAAGCAGCCTACCCACCACTCCACTGCTGTATTTTAGTAGCACAGTACAGCCAAGGCTAACAACTCCCCAGACTCTTTTAGACTCTTATTTAAAACCATCTTGAAGCCCATTTTTTTTTATATTCAGCAGCAATAAGCCATGGAGCTTATATACTACAATATACAGATGAAATATCTCATCTAAACATGCTCTAATTATTTTGTATCRTATATTCATAAGCATATCAAGTGAACATTATTACTGAGGCAGCAATTTTCAAACAAACAYGATTTTAAAGTTGGCAGTACTATACAAGAGAAGGCTAAACAAGCTTCTAATATCACTTCAGAAAATAACACTTATTACACACCCAATAAGCAAACTAGCAACATCCCTGCTCCATCACAGCAAAACAGGCAACCTGCTGAGACTAACTATACATGTATCCCTGATTCGGCATAACACTTCAAAGGCCATAGAWAGGAAGGACCTGAACAGTTCCCACAAGAATAAAACCTAGACCAGGCAATGAAATAGCAAATGCACTATTGAAATTAAGATAATTTGATAACTTTCCTCCTACTGCTTTTTTTTTTTTTCTGGTTTGAGGGAAGGAAGACTTTGCCATTACTGCTCATTTCGTTACTTAAGCATAAAGGAGCATGTCAGAATCATGCCAACAGCTCCATGAAATATCTGTCAGCAGCCTGCAAAAAGCTGCCCAAGTTTCTTGCAGTTTTGATGAGAGCGGGCCCTTCATTCCACAGAATAGCCTGGAGGCCTGCAAAACCAGTTGCAAGCAAGCAGCAAGCAGGCAGCATATCTGCGGCCATTAGTGGCCAGGGCTACATAACAGTAGGAGGAGAGGAAATGCGAGTTACTCCCAGAGACTACAACCAGTGAAGCAGGGAAGAAAGAAACCAAACAAGACTGGCCAGGCAACATGGGAATGTGGGTACGAGGAGGGAACCAGAAAAGATGAGATAAAGTTTCTCCTCTTTATCAACCTTGAAACAGATGCTGAACGACAGGAGAAAACAGGAGAGTGGTAGAAATAGTGACTGGATATTTGAAGATACTGAATGGGTATGAGGGCTTTTATTTTTATTTCTTTTTCTATACATTGTTCATGTGCAGCGCTCATGTTGAAAAGTGGGAAATGGATTTTTTTAATCACTTATAATTTACCCTTGTAAATGGTAATACTTTATTTTTCTGTCATTTTTACTACATGATAGTAGGTCTTCACCCGCATTCTTGGGAGGGTGAGGGGGAGGGAGAGAGGGACACACAACACACCTCCCTGGCAAAGAGGTAGAAAAGTATCAAATCCAAAGTGTTGCTTCTTTTTAGGGCCTAAGATTAGAGACTGAAGATCTCTTCATCTACCAAAAATGCTGATATTTGTAGAAGTTTGCTAGTTGTTTAAACAGTGTTTTAGACAAGATATTAAAGGCAGTTAGCATCCCTTGCTCAGGCACCACAATAGAGAGAAGACATCAACAGCAGCTTTACCTGCTTTGCTTCAATTTCAACACCGAGAATTCGTATGTTTCAGATCTGGGCAATATATTTCAAAAGCTTTTTTTAATACTAGATTTCATTTTTATTTATCTGACACCTGGCCTCTGAGCTAATTCTGAGATCTTGGGAGAAATGGCTGTTGACATGGCTTTTCTTGAAGAAGAAAGCCCAGTCATGATTAATGCTAGTCTGTCTCAATTTTTAAATGCTGGGTAAAAAGCTTTCTTGCATTTTTAATGGAAGTTTCTAATATAACTCATTTTCAATGAAACGTGTTTGTTTAGACTTCCACATAATGTTATTATATAAGCCTCAGTCAGTGTAATAACTTGTCAGTTCTTATTCTGGAGAGGAACATAGACTTATTTCAAAGCTCTTATCCGAAAGTCAAATCAGTCAATAACCTTCCTGATAGAAGAGCAAAACATTTGTCTCCAAGTAAAATACAAATATATAGTATGTACAGGAGTTTTGCAAGGAACTGCCCTAGACAGTAGCAGCAACAGTTCTCAAGTTGAATTCTGTCTTCTAATTCATGTGCAAAAGCAAGAGCTGGTTGTAAGGCCATTTGCTTAAGGTTTGCTCTTTCACAGTTGTAAATTCTGAAACAATTCCACTGACTGCTTTAATCCTCAACGAATACYGCTAAAAAGCAAAAGAAGGGCGAAAGCTTTTTTAGTCTTTATTTTGTCAAAACTCCAAACACATATAATGAGGATTTTACCTTCAAAATAATTTAACCCTATATTACCCATAGGTCTGGGGTGGGGAGGGTGGGGGGAAACTTGTCTTATTTACTTTCATTTTCTTACACACACACACCAAAGAGGAAATTTCTTTTAAGAATTGCTCATCAAAATTCTGTTGCATAACTAGCTCTTGTTGGAAGATGGAGTAAGAGACCAAAAAGTGTGTTCTCATAAAATAGTGGCAGGTCTCRTGACATCATGAGACAGCAAGTGACCTCTGAAAAAAAACAAAAATATACAGGTCCCAAACAACTGGGCCACATTTAGATTTAGGACCTGTCATAACATCTCAATAGTCTTTAATTGTAAAGTATCCTGTCTTCCAGTAGCAAAAACGCTAAAGAAAGATGCAAGGGACACCACAGGGGTCAGAAATTAGAGAATCCTACATTTACACCAGCTACAAAACCACATATAAATATATATCTTTTCAGTCATTTTAGAATATTTGAATAGCACTTGAATATTCTTCTGCCAACCAACGTTTTTTTYCCTAATTTTGTTAAAACTCACTCTCTGCTTCCCAGTAACTAGCCGGCAGCCCTGCTGAGCTCATTCCGTAGTGCAAGTGGGGTTTCTATAATCTCACACACTGTTCAAGAGGACTGTTTTCTATTTTACTATGTATGTGCTTTCTATTGTACTTTCCAGGAATATAGCTCTCTAGGTAAGCAAGCACATTCTACTCACACATCTTAAACATGGATTTAGAGCAATAGCTTGCAGTAAAGTAAATGCAAGCCTGGGACAGGCACTGCAGAATGCCAACAAGCTTCTCAGAAACCTTCACTCTAAGCATATTCCTAAATGTATCCTCCCCTCCAGTCTCCTCTAATTCTGTATTGATGCTGTTTTAAACCTTGCTTTTCTTTCTGACAATACTTGACCCCATTGTCTGGGGACTTTACCTTCTTAACAAGCAACAACAACAAAAGTAACCAAATCACCTTATCTCAGACTCAATTAAACAAAGGGGGAGGTGGAAAGAAGAACCTTCAGGCAAAGATTAAGCACCGAAAATTTCAGCCTGAAAAGTGTTTTGAAATGTAAGCCACTGAAAACACAAAGCAGTAAGAAAATGCGTAGGTCAGTTTTAACAACCAGGGCTAGCATGCCAGCCACGCCAAAACACCTGCAATAAGGATTTTGAATTATTACATCTTGAAAATCCAGGTCTTACAGAAATCATCAGTATCAAGAGTTATTTGAAAAACTCACCATGAATTCTTCCCTGGTTACATGACTCACCTGACTGAGCCCATTCTTGTTGACTCCATAATCTCCTAAGAGCACTAAGCCTCATCCTGAGAGCAAACAACCACTACCCTTGCAGTGTTTGAGAAAATGCTTTTGAAAAGCACAAACAAGCCTTTTCTGTTACAGCCAGGGACAACCTGCCCAAGTTTGCCTCGATTAAGAATAAACTCTATCTACTCTCCCAGTTCACATGGACTGACATGAATGAGGTGATAGCCTTAAAGAGTCCCAAACAGGGGACTGTTAGAATTACTATTCAGAATACTTCATTATTATTATTTTCACATGTTTCTCAATTGGCTTTAAAATTTAAAGGCATATTAAAGGATGCCATGTGCTTTGCCATGTTTCCTACATCTGATGCTGGTGTAAGTGGACAAAGGTGCACATGCATTGCCAGATCAATGCTTCTGGAACCAGAGCTCTCCAGGCAGTTCCATGGCTGGAGCTGATGCACACGGGTGCATGCTGATATCAGTGTGCTCACAGTACACTCTGGGTGCCCCTTTGCACCCTTCCTTCTCTCCCTTAAAGGAGAAGCATCTCACCTCACTGGGCAGTTGTGTTGTAAGCAGAGATGCAAGTCATGTGGCCTGCACAGCTCTTTAAATATTGCTGGAGTGCCCAAGAAGCTGGGTGCACTGCTGTGTCAGATCCCTATGTACGCCCCATGCTCCTTGGCCTCGCAGCCTGTACCTGTGCACATCAATTGCTCCTGCACCCCAGCAGGCCCTTGCTCCCTGCCTGCCCCCTTGGGCAAACGGCGTCTCCTTCCTGCCCAGGCTTTGGAGCCGCATGTGGGGCCGAGCACGGGCGCCCAGGCTCAGGGGGGTGCAGGGAGGGGGCAGCGCAGGGGCCGCCGGCCCCCGCAGGGGGAGGCAGCGGCGCCTCGTGGCCCGGCCCGGCCGCCCCCGACCCGCGGGGGACAATGGGGCCGGCGCGGCGGGGCGGGCGAGAGGCGCAGGGCTCCCTTTGTGGCCGCGAGACGCGCCCGCCCGCGGGGCCTGCGCTCCGGGACGGGTGGCGGGCGGCAGTTGGAAGCCCCTCGCCTGCTGCCCGGGTCGCCGCGGAGCAGCGCTACCCACAGGGCTGCCTCCCCTTCCCGCATCCCTCCCCACGCCGCAACCAGCCGAGCACTCCCAGGGCGAGCAAACGCATTAAAGAAAAGGAAAGCGAAGCACGAAGGCGGGGAGCAGCGGCGAGCACGTACCCGGGCGGCGGCGGCGCGGGCGGGCAGGGGCGACGCTGGCATGGCTCGGCGCGGCGAGAGCGCGGAGAGGAGCGCGGGGGCGCGCGCCGCGCCGCGTGCTCCCGGCCCGGCTTCGTGTCGCCCCTGGCCGGACCCTCCGGGGGGAGCGGCTCGGCCGGGCGCTCGCCGGGACGGGCCCTCGCGGCAGGCGGCAAAACGCGCGCTGGATCCTCGCGCCTGGAGCGGGAGCGCCGGCCGCGCCAGGGCCCCGCCGCGGGGAGCGCCCGAGCCGCCCTCCTGCCACGGGGAAAGGGCTCTCCCTTCCTCCTTCCCCAGGCTCGGCTACCAGGTACTGCCAGGAGCATTTGCAGCCCCTTCCTCGAGGAATCGCGTGAGCACAACCGTGTAATCAAAAAAGTTAGTCCAAGCTTCCTACATGATTCATTATCATTACAGCATTTTTGTCAAAAGGGAAAACATGCCACTAATTCWCATATTGCTTCAGATGGAAAACAGACGCCAAAAATAAGATCTATGAGACAATATAACCTAGCAGTATTTAAGCTTCTCATAATCTTAAATTATTATTTAATCTCTGGCTCTTACACCATATTGTCCTTAAAATATGAGCCAAATTCTCAAATATGAATCTGTAGAAGCTTTTCTAATATGTGCGAGAGAAAAGCAGTACTGCTAACCACATTCATTCCTATAAGAATGTTTTTAATTCTAYTCTTTTCTTGTTTAAATTCCCATGTGAGAAAATATCAATGGCAGAGACCTGCAYGGTTATCTTATAGCTTCCCCCCACCTCAAATTTGTAACCTCATCCCCTCACTTCTTTATTAACTTCCTTACAGTCAAATAATATCACTCAGGAACTCTAACCAAGCTTACACTTTTCAGCTGAAATAAGGTGAACCATGTAGTACATAGGCTTAAATTTAGAATATTTGTCTGATAAACTACCACTGACAGCTTATTTTGACAATACACATCGGTGGGTTGCTGAGGATCTACCATAAAGCTCCTCCTGACAGTCTGCTGGGAAGATTGCTTTGGGTGGGGGTCATTACATACCAAGGCTTCTGTCATTTCAAAGACTTGCATTGTTAAAAGATGCCACTATATTTCTGTAAGATTTGAGAAATATTGCTCCTCCAGACTATTGTGCACACTATGAAYACATAGAAGGGAACTGGAAGTTGAGGATACAACCTGCCAGAACAGTTTGTTGGTGGCAGTATGGGGGTGAATAGGGATATAATGGAAATTGCAATCCTGAACAAAATGCAGAAGTTAATAACTTGGAGAAAAGCAGCAAGCAGGAAGGCTACAGCTTGTTTAGAAGAAATAATAAAATGCACAATCTTCGGTGCATTAATAACCATACAAATACCTAAGAAAYAAGAATCAACTGAYGGCCTTTTTCACAATAAAGGAAAAAAATCAATGGATTCACACAGAGGAATATGTGCTCATGATCAGTCTTTTCAGTCATAAACAGTCTAGATGGCAAGGCATGTGAGGCGACAGTCTTCCTTGTTAGAGCTGATAATCATGCTAGCAAARCTACAGCTGAGCATATGCTGTTTGTAGCAAGATCACAGGAARGAATGGCTGGGCAATAAAATGCTGGATGAAGTTTTCCTACTAACTGCAGAGTGAAGCACAAGGGTAAAACAGGAAAATCACACCCTCAACTAGCTCCTAGTACACAAAACAGATCTGGGTACTCTGACACACACTTCTGTCAAATTGTTCTCTGTGCAACCAGTAGACCTTTGGGAACTATCAACAAAGGAGGGAAAGCTAAAACAAAAYATATCACTGTACCATTATCATTTAGTCTAGAACTATCATTTGCTTATATCTTGAATATTATGTCCAGGTCTGGTCTCCATAGCTTGTAAGGAAGAAAGCAGACTCTAAAGAGGTATGATAAAGGACAACAGAAACAGACAAAGGTACAAAGACAATTAAACACATGAAGACACTTCATTCTGATTCAAAAAAAACCACTAGTTTGGAAGAAATACCAACTACTGTTATGAAATCAGTGTCACAGAAAACATTAATAGACACTAATTATTCACTGTTTTTCAGATGAAGTAGAATATATAAAGACAAAATCCCAAATGGATRCCAAAACAGAAAACGGCTACTTTTTAATGAAATGCATTGTTGAACTGGAGAACTCTACTGCAACCCCTTATGTAGGCTAAACAATTTTACACATTAAAAGATTATAGGTAAGTTATTGGAATAAAACTTAATCAAGAAATACTTCRTGTAAAATTGTAATTATAGGTTACTAAAAGCACTCACTAGAGAAATGATCCTGATAAATACATCAGCTTTCTTTTGCATAGGTAGGCTATTGCCAGAAATAGAGTCTTAAACTCATGGCCCTTTCATCTGATGTAATACTATTCTTATGCTTCATCCAGAAAGAAATGGAGCTCATAAATATCTGCAAAATGAATAAAGTRTGGCAAGGCAGTCCTAAGGAGGATAGCATACAAGCAGCTCCACATTCTAGACACCTCCAATACAACCTAGTTAGTGGTGAACATCAGGGAGCTTTGAAGGACAACTGAACACAATACCACAACAGAGTAAATATCTCACCAGGAAATCAATCCACATGCCAGAGYCAAAAGCAGGCTTAGTAAAGACAGCTGAAATCAGAAACCAAGTACAAGCCCACATTGAAAAAGCTGACTTCATAGCTTGTATCAATAGGCTTCATAATAACACACACTCTTGATTGAAGGCCAGGGTTCTTACAACAGAGCTCRTCAGACTTGGGGCTGAGCTTAAGTAGAGCTCCTGGGCCAATGGGCAGAGGCTATGGGGTGGAGGCTCCAGGTGAGGTTGATCAGGATCATTAAGGCCTATTAGTGCCTTCAGGGGGCTGACATTGAGAGCAGAACTACTCAGCAGATACATGGGCCCTAGAGGGACTCCTGCAGAGTCACCTGCATCAGATGTTTGCATTAGGCACATCACCAGTCCAAGCTAGGGAAGGTTTGACATTATACATCACTGTTGTTGAACCTGAGTTAAGTCCTCTAGAAACCAAAAACTGCAGGAATTACATTGCAAAAACTTTTGTAGGGAAACCCAAACTTTTGTAGGGAAAAGACTGGATCTAAGCTTGCCTGCCTTAATACTGTCAAGCATATGCTGAGACACYGCACCTGACTCCTCCTGTGACTACAAAACATGGATTAAAGCATCTGCCCTGCAAACCTTCCTCACATTTAGTAGACTCCAGTGCACTAAGCTGACCAACCTGCTCCCTGACTGGACTTGGAAGCTGGGCACTGCACTTGTGTGGTGCTGTGCCCACAAACCTAGCTGAATCCAAGGCAACCACTCATGTCTTTGTATTTGTAATACAGATAATCAGATAAATCACCCACAGACTTGTGAACTGGCAGTGGCTGAAAGACAGACGTCTTGAATAAAATGATTTTTTTTTTTTTAATGCAGAAACACCTGAATTCTAATTGTGGTTTTAACAACAACTTCCTTGTGCAGTCTTTCTTGGCCCTGGTTCTTTAGATAATATCTATCTGCTTGTTTGGCACTGAAAATAAGTTAATGTTTGTAGGCACACTGAACATGGATATTTTGAGAGTTAATACTGTTTTATGAGAACTGAGGCTAGGAGTGACTATGAAGTCACTCCCAATATGGTATGGRCCTAGTGTACTTGATCTACTTTTTTTTTTTGTCACATACTCTTGACCCATGTTCTAGAGATTACATGCAACTCTACCAAACAATTTCCTAGACATGGCTCAGGGGTGCCATCACCCTTGCAAAAGAGTGATTTGACATTAACCTGTAAGACACACAGAATGTCCTCACTATGGCAGTCATTTACTTCCATTTTCCATTTTTGGGGGAGGAACCCGTCTCTTTGTTCACTGCATACTTGTGGAAGAAGAATGTAACACATGTGTGCAGAACAACTGTGCTACATCTGGGCAGCAAACACAGATACTTTGGCAGCAAAGAGTACATTTATGAAAGCACTGGCCATTTTTCCCTATGCACAAACCTCTCATTCTGGATGCTGCCTGTGTGCAGTTGGCTCACCATGTGATAGCATGGTGATCAGTGGGCCAGAAGTGGGCCAGAAGTGTACATCTTCTTACTCTACCTGAAATAAAAGAAAGGGTCTGCTTAGGTAGAGAAAGTTGGTACCATTCTATTTGCAAGCTTGATGACTTCAGAGAATCAATATTTCAGTTCCATAAAGACCTTATTTACATATTACAAGTAGGAACTGTCAGGGTAACCTTAATGGCTCAGACCGGCTTCACCTGAGGCTTCCAACCACCCACACTGCTCATTGGCCTGAGAACCCTTTTTAAGCTCAGGCCTGGGCACATAGCCCTTGTTTAAGCAATACTGTAAGTATGCTTATTTTTAATTCTGAGGCTGGGTAGGGTGTGTGTGGGGGGAGGGAATGTTTTTCCCTGTGTTCTTCTTTTCTTTTTCTCTTTTCCTTCTTTGTACTTCTAAAGGGCTTGTTGCCTACCTCCTATATTCCTAGAAGGTCTCTAGACCTGTTTCTAACTTTATCKTGGGCCCTCTCTCCTGCTATTCCTGATTAAATCTCCCAGGATGGACCCTGGATCCTCTTGCTGTACCTGGGCAAGACCCTATTATCAGTATCTTGCTCTGTTTAAGGACTATAGAAACATATCATGTTGGAGAAGGCACTGCCTGCACTATAGCTGCCCTTGACTCCTGGCTAATTTTGCTTCATCAAGCAGCCCTACCTAGTCTTCACAGTCATAAGAGTCATAAGAAAAAGAGGCTATATAGGGCTTTCATGGCAGGAAACTGAGATATGCCTGCATATTTCTAATACTAGCTGACCTACTAGCAAGACTAGAAGTAAGTATAAAGTATGAGGAGGAATCTTTACTATCCCTGAAGCTCAGAGGCATGATATCTTATGCTACAACTTCTAATGTCTCTCTATAGAACCAGACATGATGTCTTCATGGTTAGTACAGTTAACATGATCTTTTGAGAAATAATTTTTTAAAAGGATARTTTATTTAACTGTAGTCTTAATAGAATAAACATTTAACAAAAATTCTTAACAAAAAGGCATAATCAAATAAAAGCAGAACTCAGTCAAAACAACTAACAGCTATAAATAAAAATACCTACTTGATGTTTTCCTTCYGCTTAGATACTTGAGTATCTTAAGTTGAATGTCTTTCTCTTCTGTATTGTGAAACTGGTCAAAACAGGATTGCATAATGTCAGGCATGGGTGTAACCTAAGCAATGTAACAAGAAAGATACTGACTTGTAAGGATGGGTCATAGAAGGAAGTTGCCAGAGACTTTCTGCAAAGGGCATAACCACTTCAGGAGTGAGAATTTAAGATCTGAAGATGTAAATGATGTAGATTGTAAGGAAAATGGGATTCCAGAGCATGTAAGAAGCTAGTGACATTGAAATAAAAACTTTTTAGATTTTCCATTTATACATATAAAAGCAATATGTAATAGCAAATTATGTCCAAGTTTCTTTGCATGTTAGAGTATCTCTGAGGAAAAGATTCTACTGAATTCTATAATTCAAGATGTCCGACTTTTCAACAACAATAAAAAAAGCACCAATGCTGTACAGTTACAGGTTACAAGAGTTAACAAAACAATATATTTGTGAAACATCTGACTTGTCCAAATCAAATTACAGGCTATTTATGCATCCATCACTTTTATCTAATTGTTGATGAAATTCCAGGTCAGCTGCTATTGTATTTGCAATATTTTTGTGTGAAATGTTTGTCTAGACTAGATTACAAAAACCCTAAGTTTTAAAATTGGAGCTGTTATAGTATTATGGTCATGCCTTAGCTGGGGATTTGCTGAACAGAATACCAAAAGAATACAGTTTGGAAAACTTAGGTTCTAATCATCAATGATTCTAGCAACCTGGATTCCTGCATAAATAACCCGTTTATTCACAGAATAGTTGATTTTGCTTAACTATCAGAAYGAGCTGAACAAAATAATGAATTTCCCAGGTGTATATATATTTCTAGGGGTGTGTGTATATATGTATATACAGCTCACTGCTATAAAGGATACATTCCTGAAGGGCTGAAGAAGAGATTGCTGTGTTTTTATTGAAAAAACTTGTATTGTGCCAGCTGGCATAATGAGCAAGCACAGTAAAATAATTTCCTCTAATGCTAAAGTAAAATTAATGTATTGTAACGACTGTAACCCATTAAAGAAAGTAATGGGTAATTTTTGTCAAAAACAGTTTGACACAAGCAAAAATAAAAATGTTCCAGCGAATTTATTTGGAAGTGGTTTTATTAGTGCATGCACAGAGCTGTTTGCTGTTTATTTTCTTTACAAAAATCTGACCTGAAAATGWATCTTTATGCTAAAACCCTGAAACTCATTTCAAGCTCTGTCAAAAGTATACAATAAAGATGTGGATAACTGCTGAAAATCTACTGAAGATCCTAATAATGTTTTCTTACCTTGATAAGCTGGCAAGAGGTTGCCTCCTTGCCTGTAACATCCAGTGGTACTGAGAATGTGATCAGTTATCAAAATGTTGGTTTAACCATGAAAAATGTTAATATTTTGTTGAATAAAGATTCAGAGGAAAAGAAAAAGCAAAAACATTCTGACTTTTGCAGAGGTGACACCGGTTTTGATTAGCCTGAGACTTAAAAYTGGCCTTTTTTTCCATCTCCTTAATTTCTGGATGTACTTTGAAATTTAACTAAATGTGAATTAAAGAGTTACTCTCTTATCTTTTGCTGGATATAAAGTTAGTTTTGGAAAATATATTTRGTGCTATAGTGCAATACAGTATCCACACCAATATTTAAGTGTATATAGAGAGGCTGTGCTTGTACAGGGTGGCAAACGAAATCTCTGATTTCGGTTTGGATGGCAGGTGGGCAAGGCCGTTTTTCAAAGTGTCCCYGCCGCGCTGGGGTGTCGAGGGCAGTTTTTGCCTAGCAGGGGRTGCTCGGAGCAATCAAACGTTACTGCTCCGAGCTTGGCCACGGGCCAGGAGGCTGCGCCCCTGCTGCCTACCTCAGCACCKGGCTCCCGGCCGCGCACACGGCCACAGTTGCTGGAGGAGGCGGCCTAGGGAGCGTGTGAATTCAGCGGCACGGGGGCGGCGGGGCGCGCGCCGCTGACGGTTACGACCGTTAGGGCCGTTGCGCGGCCGTTCTGCCGCCGCGCGCCTCATGCGCGGCGCRGCCCCTCGCGGGGCGGGCGGGGGGATGGGCGGAGGGGCGCGCCGCCGCCGCCGGCTCTGACGCGATCCGCAGGCGCCCGG